TCTTAGAATGATGCAGATCTTTTTTCAATGAAAGAAAGTATATAACACTATATGGCATTCAACGGACGTATATTGTTCCGCCCCACGGTACTCTTGTTGCAATCTGTAATGGGGGTGAATTTATCATGAAGGTTAATATAAATGCATGCGATAACAACAAAATGTATTTCCACAATTCAAAATGAAATAAACACCAGGCAAATATGCATTTCACCTGTGAGGAATGGATATTTTATTGGCAAAAAAATACCTGGTAGAATACTTGTTGTAAGAAACAATATGTAATATCAACGCGTCCAAAATCATGCAGTTATATTGTAACACTGTCCAGCTCCTCCACTCCACATGAATCAATGTAAATTCAAAATGTACTTCAGTATCAATTCCACTGTTTAGTATTGAACATCTCATCCTGCAGTGTTTATGTTTTTGTTATGTTTGACAGTGATGACTGAAGCAGCCCTGCTGAAGCGACTGGAGTGTAAGAGTGGCCATTTCCATGCCTTTTCACAACAAGACATTCCTGTCCGCCACCACTACTCCAACAACCCACGTATAGGGGATGTCATCCTGGATGTCCAGGCCAAGTGGACAGTGTCAAGGTAATAGTTGACCACTTGCACTGTTGTATCACATCTTATTTCTTAAGGAGCTAGTTAGCACCCCCGCATCAGTGATGCAGTACCCTATAGCTATCACATGATTGTCCATCTGTCTGTCCGTCCACATTTTGTTTCAAGAGATTGACTAATCTTTTTGAAATTTGACTTTGCGTTACACTGCGACATGTAGATGTGCGATAGGGGTTTTAAAAGTTTCTAAGGTCAAGGTCACTGTTAGAAAATTAGACCATGGGGTACAGTCAGGCCCATTTCTAGTAAAGATCTTAATGATTTATTATGATGTTAATAAACCATGATGGTAGTTAGAAAAGTTGATGTCTCTCATATCATATTTACCCACAAAATACTTAAACAGGCCTCTGTATCTTCTACATTTCTTGTGATGACATCTCAGTAATATATTTGAAAAATAAAGTGAAATATTTTCTAAATGTATTTCTATATGATGCTGTTGTACATCTCTTGCCAGGAAGCGAAGTTCCTTTTGTTTGCAAGGTAACCATGGTTACGACAACCTGTACAAAAGTATGCAGGTAGGTACGCAACTTCAGACATGGATGTTTGTACATACTTCTTCCCTTTAAGTCACTGTTTTTATAATAAATTTACTCATTTTATTGGTTTGTAAACAGAGTTAACTTCTGTATGGTATTTCACCTTTTAGTATTTTACTTGTTGAATTAAATTGTTTAATTTGTTTAATTGATTTATGGGGCTGATATCTCGCTGTAGTGTCAATCTGAACTAGTTCCCAGGATTTGTGGGGCTTTCGGGGGTGTTTGGGTGATGGGAGTTATTTTACAAGTGTTTTAACAAAATAACTTAAATACAATAGTGAATTGGTATTTTATGGTATTATTCAGCAGTAAAAGGGTAAACAGGTCTTTTCTACATCCTCGTATATTCATGGTATTAATATTCACTGAGTATTCAATTTTGAGCTATCCTAGCTTGGTTATCGCAAACATGGCAAAATTAAATCCCCTGCGAAAATTAGCAACTATACAGCACAGAACTGTCTATTTCAGTGAGACTTTGAGAGATGTGTATTGACTGTTATGACTGCGAATGATCTAAACATTTGTAAAATTTTGTTTATGTTTTGAAGATGGGTAGCTGCTGATTGTTGGTAATATTTCACTGTTAGAAAGAAATAAAAAGCCTTATGAACCAATGAAAACAAATATTTGTAAATGTCTGAATAGTGAAAGTCAGATTTGCATTGTAATTTAATCCCACAATACTATAGCTAACATAAAGTGGAATAATTTCCAGCTGTCATGTTATGTGTTTATTGGTAATAATTTGTTTTTAAGTAAAAATGTGCCAATATAAAAAGATGTATTTTTATGATCCTTGATTCCATAGTGTGAGGAAATATCTCTTTCTCAAATTTTCATTCTGTTTAGCGTGTATCTGAGGATTAACTTGTAGCAGTTTCATAGATGCCATACAGGGGACAAGAGATCTGTTTTAGTTATGGCGTTAAAAGTACATAAATGGATTTGTATTATTATTTATTATTATTATTTATTTCATACAATTTTTCAGGCTTTATTTTTGGCTCATGGACCAGGATTTAAGGTGAATTACACAACCAAACCATTTGAGAACATTGAGCTCTACAACATGATGTCAGGTGGGTATCACTTATCTTGTTGTTATATTTTCAATACACATTCTGTATGACTAAAGCCTATGGCTAGCATGAGTTGACGAGGAATTAACATTTTTAAACTTGTGGCTTATAATGGTATGCTTTGTAGCCCAGGAGTTAATATAGCCTCTCCTGCTACATCTCAATGCCCCTTGCGCTTCACAACATCAAAAACACGACTTTGCAACTTATGTTTCTTTTTTGTTTCAAAAGAACATATACTATGAAAATGGACTTTAAAAGGGGTTTGAAAGTTTTTCAAGTTCAAGGTCAAGGTCACTATTACTAGAAATAGACAATTGGGGGTATGGCCAGGCACATGACGGGGCCCCAAATAAGCAAAACTATAATCTATTTTATATGTATAGGTGTCCAGAATTTCTTTGGCATTCCAACAAGATTCATTTGCAATGTGTGTTTTGATTGGATACGGACCATGTACTATTACATGTTAATATGACTATAAAAAATTGTTTTGTTGTCGAAGGTGAAAGCAATATCTATTAAAAATGATATTCCTGTCCATATAGATCTACTAGAGATTGTGCCAAGCTCTAATAATGGTACCACTGGGTCACTGGATGACATGCTGAAGAACCCTCAAACAAGAGATCAACCCAACTTAAGTAAATGTCCCAAGTGTAATACACATATTGCTATTGGACCACAACAGGCACTCTGTGGCTGTGACAACACGGTGAGAGTTAATGAGTGTACATTTTAGTTAACAAGGCATTCTGTGACTAAAGACGACTTTGTGAGAATAGTTTTATTGAACGAGGATCTCTCGGGCTGTGAAAACACGGAGAGAGTTAACGAGTGTAAATTTTATTTAACAAAGCATTCTTTGTCTGAGAGGACTAAACCAGACTTTGTGAGAAAAGTTTTATTGAACAAGGATCTCTCTGGCTATGACAAACGGTGAAAGTTAATGAATGTCAATTTTATTTAACCAAGCCTTCTGAGTCTGAGAGGACTTCATACTTGCCAAATTTCCATGGGGGAGATAATGTGTGCTCGGAATTAAAAGCATTATTGAAATGTGTTTATGTACACCCTAGGGGAAAATAGCACTTTTTCATAAAATCTTTTCAATGAACTATTCTCACAGATGAAATCATCAGATCTTAGAAAATAGGAATAGTTTAGCAATTTCACTGGTTAAAAATGCTCAATTTTAGGGTCCAAGATTGGGGGTCTAGCTCCCACCTAAATAGAGAGAGTTGGCAAGTATGCGACTTTCTGAGAATAGTTTTATTGAGCAAGGATCTCTCAGGCTTTGACAAAACCAGAAGGGTAGTTTTACCATACAAGTTTGACATGTGTGAAGGAAACTCGTATTTCTGTAATTAGTTTTCTGGAGGTCTCTTTTTCAGATTGAATAGCATAACTATGTAACTGATGGAAGTAGCTAAATTGAGATATAAATATAAACTAAGATAAGAGATTTCTCAATATCATGCTGTAACAAATTAAACTTATCATCTTTTGACATCCTAATGATTTGAAGTTTTGATTGCCTGAAGCTGCCAACTAGCACCACTGCCTCGGTGCGGAGTTATACCCCCTTGTTTGGGGCTCCGGTCACCACTCATAGTGGGTTACAGATATGTGAACTGGATCAGGGAAACTTCAGGACTGGGTACAGCAAACTGTTTCATACACCTGTCTGGTCAACCTTCACTCTCCCCAGGAAACAGGTAAGGATCCAGAAATTGTCAAATTCATGTTTATGTTGTCCTGAATGATTATTTTAAGATCACTAAATGGATGTCTAAATCTCAAACATAATGATGTAATGTATAAATACTATTTGAAAAAGAAGACAAAAAACAACTATGTGTTTGTTGTCGTCTGTTGATTATGTTGAGTTTAAGCTATTTTCTGTTTGTCTTTGTGCCAAGAATGTGAGTTTGATCGACGATGCATGTGTGCTGCTAGACCGTAGATTACCGAAGGTTTCATGTGACAGTTACCATGGTAACAACATCACACAGGTGTTTCTGTACAATCCAGGTAAGGGCCGGAACACTTGATGGATAATTCATGTATTTCATGAGATTTTTTTATAAAAAAATCAGGATATGGTGACATTTCTATAGATGTGGTTTGATTTGTCTGAAATGAAGTTTATGAAAAGCTATAAAATATTCAACCTTTTTTTCATCGAGCTCAATATATGTTTTTTTTTTTTGTTTTTTTTTTTTTTAAAGCCAGATGAATAAGATTTTGACTATTTACCATAAATGTCTTTCAACTTACATTTTGTATGTATAAATTAGGGTTTAAAACTTCAAAGTAGTCTCTAATCCATTACAATTTTTAGTTCAATGAAAAGGGTACAATTTCATACTCTTGTCAGAAAGATAAATCTGTAACAGGAAATCTGTGTCGAGAACACAGTCATTTTTGTAATCACATGTATTTTAATCATTCTTGCTTCTGAGAAACAGTAAGTTGCTGGACCCCTTGAATCTCTGTCTTACCTGCATGGATGCCAGTAAAAAGACCTTCCTATATATGTGGTTTTGTTTCTTAAATGAAGTTTATGAAAAGCTATAAAATATTCAACCTTTTTTCCATCGAGCTCAATACATGTAAAAAATAATATATATGTTTTTGAACTTTCTATGGCTGTCCTGTTAACAGGTTTTGACACCATACAGACAGAGAGTAGACTACACACCAACACTGTCCCAATGTACACAGGATTTTATTCAGGTGAGGAGGTTTATTGAACATTGTCTGTTTGTCATAATACACAGTAGGCCTACATATACATATTTTTTTCTTTATTACATTTGTATTTCTAATATTATGTGAAAAATACATCGAGTGATATTTTGTTTTCAAGATTGTAAGGTTGGGAGTTTCTCTCCCCACTTCTCCACACATTCCCCCCCCCCCCCCTTTTTC